TTTTCTTCAGAAATATACATTTTTTTATTTTTTAATTAATATAAAAATATACAATATGAATTTATTAATAATTAATACCAATTAATATTTATTTTTCAATTAATATTGATTTTTTTCTTTTTCTTCAGAAATATACAATTTTTTATTTTTTAATTAATATTAATATTTGGGTATTGACGAGGGCATTTAAGTAATTTTAGCCCCCCACACCAGCTGCGTACTTAAGTCAAAAATTTAAGCACCCCCTGACTATCTTTTGAGATAAGTTGAGAAATAGCTTGATTTAAACTATAAACTGATTAATTTAAACTGCACCAAATACAATATTTTGGTTTAAATTAAGCTAAAAGCTGAAATAAACAGCTTATAAACTCTACCAAACAGGCCTAATAAAAGACATACAATCTTTACTACTACTCTATTTATAGTTTTGGTGGTTTGAATTGTTTTTATATTTTAAGAATCACATATTGTAGTACTTTATGTGGATGAGCATGTTGTGACTGTAATATTCTAAAGTTTCAAACTTTCTTTCTTTGGATGAGGCATGCGGTGATTGTAATAATTTTTTAAATTATTAACTGGAATACTTTTTTTTTTTAGAAAGTGCACAAGTTGAATTATGTTAAAATTTATAAAATTTTAAACCGCTAAACAGATTCACATCCATCTGTCAATCCGCTCAATCCACATCCGCTGGATTGGTGGACAGATGAGGATTGATTTTCTCCAATCTACTAATCTGACAGATTAGAGGTTCCGTGAACGCAACTGATCTGCGCCCACCCCTAATGTCAACTATCACAACCCCCCCCTCAAAAAAAAAAACATGTCAACTAATATTAAAAAATTTCAAAAAATATGATCTTGTTTGGTTTATTTGTTGAAAGATAATTTTAGGAAAAAATTTTAAAAATTAAAAAAAAAATTTAAATCACTTTTTTATCTATTATACATCAATCAATCATTTTTTTCTCTCTCATTCTCTTACATCTTATACATTAGTCAATTAGTATTTTTTTTTTCTCACAATCATCTATTCAATTAAAAAAAAAATTCCAAATTTTAAAACTCCAAAATTATTTTCAAAACATATAATCAAACAAATTTTCAAATATAAACTCTTTTCAAAAAATTATTTCACAAATACAAACCAAACATGACCTACATGTTTCTTATCTCAATAAAAAAGTGTCACTTACAAGTTTACAATTGTCACTTTAATTTCAAGAGATATTTGAAAAGAAAATTTGTTGAGACATTTTAATTAGGCTTAATTTTGAAAACTCGGCTAAAAGTTCATTTTTTGAACTTTTTGGTTTTTTTTTTTTTTAAATCATATTACTTATTTACTTTTTACACGTTTTTTTTAAAAAGAACAAAAAAAATTAAAAAGTTAACTTTTAACCTATTTTTCACAATAAGTCTTAGAAATCATTTAGGAATGATAAATTAGGTGGATGTAACATTGTAATATTTAATATTTTAATTTTTTTTTGGCATTACAAAATATATATAAACTTTTGCTGCATTTCTTTGGGCAAAAAATATTTTCTAGAAAATATTTTTTATATTTTTTGGTGTTTGGTACAATAGAAATGGAAGTCAACGAAAAACATTTTCCATGATCAACAAAAAACAAGCCTATATGAGTAGAAAATAATTTTCACTTTTAAAAAGCAGAAGACGTTTTCTGAACTAAAATCTTATCAATGTCATCGCACTATTACCGCCACTCTCACCTCCACCACTATATCACCATTACTACGGTTACTGTCACTTTCACTGTCGTTATTGCCACTGCTATCGCCCTATCATTATGCCACCACCTCCGTCTACATCATCGTTTCACCACCTCCACCACCAAATATAAAAAAAATATATATTTTCTTATGGGAAAAGTTTTTCATGTATGATTTTTGGTAAGGTTTTGTTCCAAAACAAGGAAAAACAAAATTCCACTTTATCCACTAATTAGGTTTTGTTCATATCTCAATAATGATTTTTGGTTTTTGGTAAGCTTGGTATATGGTTGACAAGTATAAATTTTTAAAAATATCTCTCATTTTATTTTTGAGTTGAATTAAATTTGATCGGCAATTAATTATTTCAAAATCAGGACTCATGAATATTATGATATTCCTACGAAACATCATTTTTTCTTGATAAAAGATATCTATATATATATATATATGTTAGCTTATTGAGCCATATTTTTTTCAATTTTTTTTTATTTTTAATGATTTTTTTTTTAAAATTATGTCAAAATGTTTTTACTTTTTCCATTGATGAATCCAAAAAGTAAAACAAATTTGGAAAAGTCAAAAAAAAGTCTACTATTATTTTTTATTTTTTTGACTTTTTATGTTTGTTTATTTAAAAAAGAAAAAAGTTAGGCCTTGTCGGGTTTGTCAGAGAAAAAATTTCAAAAATTAGTTTGGTTGAAAAATTTTGAAAAAAAATTTAAAATCACTTTTCTCTCTGTTACACATTAATTAATCATTTTTTTCACAACTATCTATTTACAAAAAAAATAAATAAATAAATAAACAAACCATTTCAAACTCTAAAACTCTAAAACTATTTACAAAATATACAACCAAATAAATTTTTAAATTTTATAAAATCTTTTCAAAAAATTATTTTTAAAATTTTTTTCACAAATACAAATCAAACGTTAGCCTTAATTTCATTTCATCTACCATAATCTAGAAGAGTAAATTTTTTGAAAATTTTTAAAACAATAATTTTACTAAAGATAAAAATAAACAAAAAAAATATAAATAAATCACAAAATAAACAAACCCCAAACACCCACTTCTAGGGATGGCAATTTGAACCCGGCCTGACGGAGACGCGATCTCTCGACCCCGATTAGAATGGATTTTTCCCGAAAATTATCCTCATAGTACCAGAGATGGTATTAAAAATTAAATCCCCGGCTGTTTTCGGGCCGGGATGAGGATAGGTTCCCCAGTCCCGACCCGGCCCGACTGCGAATTATACCTGGATAACTCAGCAAATATTCCCCGAATATTCCCCATAAATATATATGTTTGACTCTGCCTCTCACTCACATACATTTCGTTTCTCTCTCTCATAGTCTCAGCATCTCTCTCCCCCCTCTCTCTCTCTCTCTCTGTGCAGCTACTCTCACAGGCGCCGTCATCGTCCCTCTATCGCCGATCTCTCTCATTCCATCACCGCCGATTACCGTCGTCCCTCCATCACCGCTGTCCCTCCTCCCCATCGCCATTGTCCTCCTCCCCCTTTCCCATCGCCGTCATCCCTCTTCTCTATCGCTGCTATCCCTCTTTCAATCATCGTCAAAGTTCATCACCTCTCCATCGCAGCTAATTGCCGTCGACTCTCTCTCTCTCAATGTGTTAGATTTTTTATTTTTTATTTTTTACGTTTGAGCTCAAATCTGTTTGATCTATTGAATATATATGTTAAATCTGGTGTTGAATATATATTTGAGGTCAAAGTTGTTGAATATATATTTGAACTCAAAACTCAGATCTGTTGAATATACATTTGAGCTCAGAGTTCTATTGTTGTAGATGATGATAATGATGATGATGATAAACAAATATGATTGTTGTTGTTGTTGATGAATATATATGTTAAATCCTTGTTGTTAAATGTATATGTTTTTTGTTGTTTTTTTTTATTTTGGTCGGGCAATTTTCGGGGTCGGAACACCCGATTCCCGTTAGGCGACGGAGATGGGGCGGTGGTAGACTCCACGTTGGGAATCAGCGCCGAAGACGGGAAAATTTCTACCATTGGGGATCGGGTATAAAGAGTGTGATCCCCGGCCCTAACCCCGCCCGTTGCCATTCCTACCCACTTCAAGTTTAATCGGTTGCAAATTTTAAAAACCAAAATAAAATAATTAAATTTTTAGCAACTAAAATATAATATCTGATATACTTTTGGGAATTAATCCTAAAGTTAAAACACAGGAGAGAGCGAGAGCGAGAGAGAGAGAGAGAGAGAGAGAGAGAGAGGTGTTTACTTGGCACCCTGTTTGGCAACGTTTTTGAAGATCCGTTTAGCACAGTTCCTAGCCTCCCATTCACTCCCAATCTCAGACTCAGTACTCCCAAACCCATCCACAGTATTCGAAATTGTCGACAACCCAAAAAACCTCACATAATTCACCAGCCTCTTCACACTCCACGCCGATTTCGTGCTCTGCAGGCTCATCTTCCTCAGCTTCTCAATGTCCACTCTCCTCGACCCAAACCTCTTCATCGATTTCGACAAACTCCTCGCCCCTTTCCTCAATTTCGCCGGCAATGTCTTCGACTCCGCCAGGTGGTGGTTGTTGTGGTTGTGCGCCGCCTCGTACGCCGCCTCGTCCATGGGTGGGCCGGAGAGGGTGTTGAGGATGTAGTGGTGGAACACACTCTCCTTCATTCTGTCGAAGTAGGTCGCCACGTGGAATGAGGATGCTAGGACTTTTACGAGGACGATCTTGATCAGCCAGATTGTGGCTCCGATTAGAACTGCCACCAGAGCTTTAAACAGCTGTTGAATTTCATTTTGACATTTCATTAGATATTGATGATTTAATTTTAGATGGATTTTATATAATTATTTTTACAAATTATTTGAAATTTTTCCTAAAAATTTTTATTTGTACAATAATTTTTACGAAATACATATTACATATTTTTATTTAATTTCTCCACTTAAGAATTAAGAAAAATTACAAATAATTAAAACAGTGAAAAAATTATTGTACTTTACATAAAAAAATTTGTGATACAATTTTGACACAGTTTAAACTTACACCATACACATAAAAAATCTACACTATATGCACAGTAAAATTACACCACTATAAAAATATATAAATAATTATTTAGTGTTCCGTTGATTTGCAATTTCTCCTAAGAATTATCAATCTACTTTAAATAACTATTCTTCTTATAATTTTATAAAAAGTTCAACCTCAAACACCTCTTCATTATACATTTATACATTCAAATAGAGCCTTAAAATATGAAAATCTCAAAAAGATGTGATCAAATGACAAGGAGATAGAAATTTTTTGGGAACATATAGACCCTCCATTTGCAGTATTAATTATTAAATTATATCTCAAAAATTTTATATACTTTTTAAATTGTAAATGAACTGAAATAGGAATTATTTTTTTTTTTTTTTTGGATAACTCAGGGTGAACTAGCTTAACACAAGAATTGATATCACCTAAGAGGTTTTGAACCTGAGACTTAAAAATGAACAAATTCTCAAGTCCCAAGCCTACACCACTAAGCCAACCTTTGGAGGTTGAACCAAAATAGAATGAGAGATCTTTTTGACAAAAAGAATGTTTGGTCCTATATGGTTAAATGAAAATGAGTGAGACCCTCAATTTTGAGAATTTTCATGACTCTCAAAATGATCAGAACCACTCGTGTGCTTGTTTTTTATTTTCTTTTCTTAAATCATTTTGGAGAGTCATGGTCCCTAAATTTGAGAGTCCCAAATCATTGTTATGGTTAAAAAATCATATTCTTTCAAGATTCCTATCACATGTTGCAATAGAGAGTGTACTACATCTAAAATACTTGGTAGATGAAAGAGTTGTTTGATCTCACCTTCCCCAACATCTTGTCCTTGTGATGAACATTAGGATTGAACATGAAAGTCCAAGACAGCAAAACCAGTCCCAACCAAACACAGTTCTGAAAGCTCTTCCTCAACCCATAAACAAAATACAACACTTTTTCCCTCAGCATAAAGTTCCTTTCAATGAGGAAAACAACAAAACCCATAACCCAACCAGAAACAAGTCTTCCACTGAAAATCACCATAACCATCAAGCACCATCTCCAAACCTCAACACCCCAAGTCATATGAGTCTTCACAGACTCAATTGTCAAAGAACAAACCAAACAAGTCAATATGATGATGAACAAAGCCCACTCCACCATAGTTTTCCAGTGCACCTTCTTCTTTTTCTTCTTTCTGAGCTTTTCTCTTCCCATTTCATCTTCACCCTCTTCAAACTCTTCTTCTTCGTCGTCGTCACTGTCATCGGTTGAGTAGTTTGTTGGGTTAAGTGGTTCGAGCTCATCGGAGTATTCGGGGATGGTGGTGGTGGTGGTAGTTTTGCGAGTGGGTGGAGGGAGGTTGAACTCGACGTTGCGAGCTTTGGGTTTGGAAAAGCTGAGTCTGCGGAGAGTTTGTGTTCTTGATGTGAATTGTGGGGTTGCTGTGGTTTTGGGTTCGGTAATGGAAGTTGGGTTTATGGGTTGTGGTGGTTCATGGTTTTTGATGTTGTGTTGTTGGTCCTCCATGAAAAGAATTACGTGATCGGAAATTGATTTTTCCATCTCCCTTTCTCTCTCTGGTTGCTGAAGTGTTTTTTTGGGTTTGGTCTGGTTTTGTGAGAGGGGTGTCCTTGCAAGGACGAGAAGGTAAGGTTTTAAAAACAAACCAAGCTTCGTGCAAAAAGTTTGAAAATGAAATATGTGGACGATATTTTTTTTTGTTGTTGTTGTTGAGGAAATGACATTTTTCCTATTAGTTCCGCATTAGGCCACGTTTGAAAGAGACTATTTTAGTGGGGCTGTTTATTATCCTTTTTAGGGGATGGTTATAACTAATTTTAATTTGAAGATTTGTCAGGTTTATAAATTATTAGGTAAAAATGATTTAAATAAATTTAAAAAGTTGATTATTTAGAAATTGTGAAAGAGGTACTTTTAGTTTTCTGATTATTAATTTTTAATTTAAAAAAAAAACTTCACCAAGGCAAGTAATTTTTTGGTTTTTTTGATTAAAATATAAAGTAAAAAAATCTAATATTTTTGAGATGATTTTTTAATTTTTTATATAAAAAATAGAAAAAAAAGAGTGATTTTTTGACTTTTTTTTATACAATTTGTTGTGCACTTGCCAAACAAGAAGAGATGTTATTTAGCTAATTCGAATCATTAACTTATAAGATTATTTGAAAAATTATTTATATAAAAAATTAAGTTAATTAAATATTAATAATTATATTCAAATCATATTTATCGTTTACAAAAAAAGACGACACGATTGGATTACATTTGTGTTTAAAAAATAGACAATAAGTACGATTTTGAAACTAAACTCTATTTTTATGAGACAAACACTACAAGAATTTTTATCTTTAGCAACTAAATTTTTAGTCACCAAAAATTAATTTTTAATCACCGAAGGGTTTCAGCGACTAAATTATTTGGTTGTAGAGGTAGTTGTGGAAGAATTGTTGGTAAAGGTAATTAGAGACTAAAAATATTTTAGTCGCCAAATATATTCAATTTCCGACTAAGTTTTTAGTCGCCAAAAGGTTGGACATAAAATTAAATTAGTACATTTTCGACGACTAAACTTTTAGTCGCCTAAAGTCCCACATTTTTAGCTACTAAAATTTTAGTCGGTAAAAAGTTTTTGTTTTGGCTACTAAATATTTGGTCGCCTAAAGTCTCACATTTTTTGCTACTAAAATTTTAGTCGGCAAAGAGTTTTTGTTTTGGTTACTAAATATTTGGTCGCCTAAAGTCCCACATTTTTTGCTACTAAATTTTTAGTCGGCAAAAGTATTTTTATTCTTTAGCTTTTGTTTTTAGATACGAAATATTTTAGTTGTCAAATGTTTAATTTTCTTTTGGTTACAAAACTTTTAGTCGCCAAAATTTTACTTTTCTTTTGGCTACATAACTTTTAGTCGCCAGATGTTTTTTTTTTTTTTTTGCTACAAAACTTTTAGCCGCCCAAACTATTTTCCCAATTTCTTTTAGCTATTGATTGTTTAGTCGGCAAAAATATGATATTATGTTTTATCGCAAAATTATAATTTCTCCACAACTTGTCTATATTCCATGGAACCTGTAATACGTATATAAACAAAATGATACATATACTATCAATCATTCCACAACCTGCATCCATATATAAAAAATAAATAACTTCAAATGCCAAAATCCATATAAACCAACTATTGTCTAAGATAAAATAATAATTCCATACAAAATATGGAATTATACAAAAATCAAAGCCCGCCGTATACAAAAAATACATTTACTACCAAGCGAAATTCCCATTTGGTATGGTACAAATTACCATCGTAATCTGTACCACGACAAAAGATTTTTTATAGACTATGACAAAAGGTCATATATGTACGTCGACAAATGGTCATATATGTACCACGACAGAATGTGATCTATGTACCACACCAGTCATTATCTGTTGATTGCCAAAATTTTTCTATATCAGTAATAGTGAACTACACAAAAGCTAAGGATGACAAAAGTATTATATTAGTTCTATACAAAAGTGAAATTTCTTTTCCATACACCAAAATGGATTATCCACAAGTTCACGCAACAAAGCCATCTAAAAAAAAAAACGTGAGGATAGGTTACAAAATATCAATTCAATCAGCCATGGGGAACATGTTCTAACATGCATTTAAGGCAGAACAATCGAGAAATGTCTTCTTAGAAATAAAAGCATATATATATATATATATATAAGTATCATGCAATATTTATTCCAACCAACTGCACAAACAATCTAATATGTAATTGCTTAGTCCTATAAATATATAAAGACAATTATTAGAATATGTTGATGTTATTTTCATAAAGTTGTCGCTCTTTAAACTAAGTGTTACGAGTTTTTCGACTAAGTATAAGACGTTTTCGACTCAAACTCCAAGCCTACGGGTCCTAATTACATTCTGTCAGTTATCACAGGTCGAAATTGTCATGGGGAAGCTGTCCATGAGAGCCACATAGTTGTCACGCCCCAAATTTTAATTACTCGAAAACATTACCAAGAGCCTGAAATTTAGGTCCATTTTTTTTTATTAAAAATATCTATTACCCTTGAGTAATATAAATATAATAATACATGTTCTCTCCCTCATGATGAGTACAACAATAATAATAATACATTCCCACTTCCACTTTGGAGTTACAACTTAATAAATACAAACATCAATGTACAATGAGATTACACATAAGAGATACATGAACTTTCTAATCCTTCAACCAAACAATCCAAAATCTCTTCCTATAAAAAAAAATGAAACAACAAGGGGTGAGCACAATTGCTCAGTAGGAATCTCACAGTTCTAAAACAATAACCATCCTATAGATATTAGTGATCATGCATGCAGAGTGATACCATATAGTAGATGACGTTTTGTAATTTCAAAATATCATACGTAGAGTATCTTTTTCTCAAGGTTTATTTGAACATTTAAGGAAAACCTTCGACCATCAAAACAATCCCTTTTCATTAGAAAACCATAAATCCTTTTTGAGAACAACATGTTTAAGAAATCACATAATTTTATATTTATTAACCCATTCCAAAATATTTCTTATTAAATTCCCATCTTAACATTCCTCTTTTTTTTCACATTCTCCCTTTTTACTAGTTACATTTATTAAAATTCCATAACCTCAAATTCATGTTCCCTTAGTACCCAAAACAACCCTCATACACTCCATTCCCACCTGTCCATCCTTTATTGTTATTATTCTTTAACGTAGAAATCCAAGAACAATTACATCACATCCACATTTGCATTATCAACCATAGCTCAACACATCGCACAGACAATAAACCCTTTTTAATTTAATTTCTCAATTGATCACTAAGCAAAATTCTTAATCTTTCCTCCTTATAGATACAAACAACTCGGTGAGTTCTTTATCACCAATCCCTTATCCAAGTACCACTTCATTATCCATTCTTTTCAAATAATTTCTATATGCATTCTCATTCCATATCAATTTACACATCAAATGGTAATTTCACAAATTCAACACAAGTCACATATATTATCACTGAACTCAACACACTTCACAACATATTCCACCTTTTGCCGGCTTGATACGGCGGGATAGCGGGCACCCAATTCATAGCACATTCCACTTTTTGCCGGCTATTATACGGCGGGAAGTGAACTCCCAAAATCATTTTCTCAAAAACCATATCTTTTTTCAGAGACCATTTTCAACCTTTTAAAAACCATCCTCCACATTTGCCGACTATTATACGGCAAGACACGGGAACCCAAAACATTTTCGAAAACCATCCGTTTTTCCATTTTTGCCAGCTGCAATACGGCAGGACTGTGTGGATACCCAAAAATCATTTTTCCACTTTCACCGTCTACAATACGACAAGACTATGTGGACACCCAAAAACACTTTTCCCACATTCGTCTAGCGATAAGCCTAGACAGGGCTAGGGGTGTGCGCGGTGCGGGTCGGTGCGGTTTGAGAGAAAAATAGAAACCGTATGGCGGGTGGCGGATTGATAAAAGTGTCATTAGAATTTGTCATTTTCCTTATCAAAAACCGGCGGTTCGGTTGACAAATAATGGCAGATTTGCCTTGGCGGTTCGGGCGGATTGGCGGTTTATAAAAAATATAATTCAAATTACAAAACTTAAATCAAAGAGTAAAAAAAAGACGAGAGATACCGTGATGTTAAGCGTCTTGCGAAGCTTTCTTCTAATGCAGTAAGTGTAGCAACAACATGTTAATACCAACGACTATGCCATCAGTTCATTACAAGCATCTGTGGAAGTTACAATGATCAAATACAATACATAAAATTCCCCTCGAGTAGTAATGTAATACTATATTCTAAGGTATAGAACAACAAGCAAACTTAAATAAAAAAGAATTTTTAGAATCTTATAAAACATGATTTAATAGCGGTGCAGGTCGGTGCGGTTTGGAAGAAAAATAGAAACCGGCAGATTGATAAAAGTGTCACTAGAATTTGCCATTTTTCTTATCAAAAACCAGCGGTTCGATTGACAAATAATAACGAATTTGCCTTGGCGGTGCGGTTCGGTGCGATTTTGGCGGTTTCGGTGGTTTCGGCGGTATTATGCACACCCCTAGACAGGGCAATTGGGCACCTTGAATTCAAACCACCCCCACATTTACCGGCTATTATACGGACGGTCGTGGGCACCGAAAAACCATTTTTCAATTTTTTTTTAAAACAATCCCCCTACATTTACTGGCTATGATACGGACGGTCGTGGGTACCAAAAAATCATTTTTTTTCAACTCCCCACTTGGGTACCAACACAAACACCACTCAACCCAAACTCCACACACCCAACACAACTTGACTCAAACTCAACACAACCCAACACAACACAACTCAAACTCAATACAACCCAACATAACACAACTCAAACTCAACACAACCCAACACAACACAATTCCACAAAACTCACAATGATTCAACGCAATTCAACATTGTAAACTCACTTCAACATAATCAACACAATTCAACATAATTCAAGGTGAACTCTTAAACTTTTATTTCATCATTTCACCCCAAGGCTCATGTCATCCATATCATTAATAAATTATTTTCCCCAATCTTCATTTCACATTA